TGCGATAGACGACTGGCCGCGCAGATTGAAGGCCTGTATTCAAAATCACGGAGGTCATTTTGAATAAACTTTAGTGTCATAAGAATCTATGTTTTGTTAAGTTCATTTTGGTATATAAATGGTTACATAATGAATAAACTTGTTTCAATTATTTTATATTAAACATGTGACAGAATTTATGACCTGACTAGGTATATATCGATGCTGCAAAGCAACAAAAATATTTCTTAATCAATAAAATACTGGCTTTTTTGTTTTTAAACATATACGTACAAAATTTTTAGAGCCTCGAAAATTAGTGCTATATTTGACATAAATTAAGTGCTATATTTGATATAAAATAAGTGCTATTGCTTGATATAAAAAAGTTGGCAACCCTAACCTCAACTCTCTATGCGAATGACTGCTGGTGAGGTATAGTTGAATCATGAGCCATAAAAATAATCTTGTGTATTTATTCCGGCCATGAGGTTAATACTTGACTATATTATCATAATAATGACAAATTCTCCTGACAGATCAAGAGCACGCTGGTGTTTTTATTATAAGTCGAACGATATTGGAAATTTGCAACGGCGCAGGTCATATTATTGCGCTATATATTAAATGTATGCATAGAGAATCACACACCAATTTTTACCTATCCTGAAGTCTAACACTTGGATCATTTATTTATTAACCTCCGATCGTATCGCAAACGCGGTCTTTGCAATACCATCGGAGGTAGGATGCAATGTCAAAGACGTAGGAACAAAACCCTAATACTGTTAGCTTTAGCTAGGCTCTCAACCACGCGGTCATCAGTTCCTCTATTTTTAAATACGAAAGCTTTTCATATCAATATAACCATTTATTTATTTACAATCTTTATTGCACACATTTTATACGTGGTAGAGCCATACTGCAGCTATATTACTGGTATAGTTGTAGCACGAATGAGTCGGCGTCACGTATAGTGAGTGTAGAAAACCGGAGACCCGTTTCACTGGAAACGAGCCATTCCATCTTAGTCCTCATGAGTGACAACGTATATCCATTTTGATTCGTAATCGAAGATAGATGAATATTTCTATGGGCCACAGCAACCACTTACCATGGGGTGGACTGTGTGCTCGTTTGCCTTATCCTTATCTTTTATAAAAAACAAAGTGTACGACTGATAGACTTAATGCCTTTAAGCATTCTCTACCAGTCAACCACGAGCTAAGCAGAGAAACTTAAGCAGGTGCCACAAAAAACATGAAAATATGTATGCATGAATATATATAGGAGTTGAGTCTTGTGGATACCACTGTTTTTCTCGGTATTACTATTGACGCGAAACTTCAATGGAGCCCCCATATATCTAAATTAGCAAGCAGACTTAGTTCTGCAGCATATGCTGTAAGAAAGATTAGAAGTCTCATAGATGTGTAGACCGCTAGGTTAATGTATTTTAGTTACTTTCATAGCGTAATATCTTATGGAATTTTGCTATGGGGTAATGCGACTGATATTGAAGCTATATTTGTTTTGCAAAAGAGAGCCGTACGGGCGATTTATAATCTAAATTGTAAAGAGTCCCTCAGAGAAAAATTTAAAGAAATAAACATATTAACTTTGGCATCGCAATATACTCGTATTTATGAAAATGTAATTTATGTACATAAAAACATAAATAGCTTTAATAAGAATAAGGATGTCCATACCTTAAACACTAGGAACAAACATAAGCTTGTAATGCCACTTACTAGACTCCACAGAATTAGTAATTCATTTATGGGGCAATGTATACGCTTTTACAACAAAATCCCAGAACATGTTCAAAGTTTGTCAATAAACAAGTTTAAAAGTTTTATTAAAGAAAAACTGTACAAAAAGGGTTATTATAATATCAAGGAATACATTAATGAAAATAACCCCTGGGAATAAGGTCGCCACCATGCTGGTTCTATGAAAATTCATTTAAAATTGTATAAACAAAATTATTGTTAAGTGAAATTATGTTTTAAAAAAATGTCCCGCTGGGTTTCTTGCTGGTTCTTCCCAGGACAGAGGTATTTTCCGAACCAGTGGTAAATAAAATAATGACTTTCAATAAGTATTATGTAATAATCCATATTTAATAAAAAACATTCTATTCTATTCTATTCTATAAAAACGAACATAATATACGTATAAAATACACTATCAACTTTTTCTATCTATCCGTTAAATTTATATTCCCCTGGTAACAAGAGTAAAACTCATCCTTACGTGCGCAGCGTGCTGGTACGTTGTAGTTAATAGAATAACTTCAGTAAAAGTCTCCCTCTGCTCCCTAATCCAATTAATCTATCCACGCATAACCTGATTATGATAACGATGTTTCTCCTCAAAGAAAATAATGAGCTAATGCCATCACTTCTAGTACATACATAAAATGGTATCTTATCTTTTTACCCGCGACGGAACGGAAAAGGTGTATGCGTTTAGGGTGAGAGGTTGTTTGTTTGTTTGTGTGTGCAAACGAATGTACCCATTTATCTCCAAAACGGCTTAACCGATTTCAATATGGTTTTTGGCAAAGGGTTTGTGACTCATTAATTATTTTAATTTAGACGACTACGTACTAAAATTTAAAACATGGCAAAGCCACGCTGCACCTATATTATGGTTGTAGCACGAATAGGAAGAAGAACCACGTTCACAAGATACCGGCGTAAAATAGCAGCTTGATGACCGGAATGTGACATTTTTTATTATTTTTATTTGCTTAAAGTCGGTTTTTTCAACAGTCTTCAACAAAAGGAGGAGGTTCTCAATTCAATTGTATTTTTTATTTGTGTTAACCTCAGAACTTTTTTTTCTAGGTTAACCGATTTTGACGATTCTTCTTCTTTATTTGAAATCTGGTGCTTTTCGTGTGGTCCCATATAAGATCTAACTGGTAGTTTTTGAATTATCCTTAATAATTCATATTTAATTGATTTCGACTACATTGATGATGTTCTCATTTTGCTTATATTAAAGTCGGTTGTACAAAGTTTTAAATGTGGATAATGAGAAATATCGACGTACAAATTTTTGGATTTTCCAATATGTGTCTTTCCTACCAATCTTTACTACTAATTGCTACGAGACGCTTTGTATTAGATAATCTCTCATCTTATTACGGCTAGGATTAGGTTAGTATTCCCGTTCTATCAGTTGTAGCTCAATTTGTTTAGTGGGACTCATCAAGCCAAACCGTAAATTGTCACTGTTGCCCAAAATACTAGCTATAATTGCTAGTCCTCATACTAATTTCCTAATAGCGACCTTTACGTAAGTATTAAAATATAGATAAGGTACGTGAGGCTAATATGGTCACCTTAAGCTTTGCCTCCCTATATAACTAAAACTAGGAGGAGGACAGAGACAAAACACAAAGTCGAATACTATAATTTATATAATATTAAGAAAAAAAATAGTAAATAAGTTTTTCCAAGAATAAGGAACACTTACGCACGCACTAAACAATCTAATTTAATATAATATGTATTACTTGTGAGATAGATTGTGTTTTCATACGATGGCCAAGTTAATCTATTTATTTAAAACATAAAAGATTTTTAATATTGGTATGGTCACTATAAGATGTTGTTAGGTTAACTAATTACTTAATAACTTGAGACAGAAGAACCCTTAAGTAGGGACTGAATAAATTTATTAACTTAGTATTACATGGATCTTACAATTTTTTACGGTAGAAGAACTGAGTTGCGAGACTTGGTTTTTTTTTACAAGATATGTTTTTGATAGCATTTGATTGACTGATGAAGAGCTATCGTATCACAAAGCCATGTATGCAAAAAGGCTGAAGTTTTTGAGTTATACGAAAGTGACCGTATTAACCGGATACCCTCACGTACTATAGTTATCATAACACAACTCCTAAGCTCGCCGTGACGCGTCCTTCGAAACAAAATGAGTCATCATAACCGTACACATATTGAAAGGGGACAATACGGTTATTAAATACGTTATTGTATACGCGTATGATGCATTGTTGTATACGGGTATGAAACGTTGATGTAAACGGGTATGGTACGTTGTTGTATACGAGTATGATACGTTGTTGTATACGGGTATGAAATTTTGTTGTATATGAGTATGATATGTTGTTGTATACGGGTATGATACGTTGTTGCATACGGGAATGAAACTAAAGTTGTATACGGGTATGATAAGTTGTTGTATACGGGTATGAAACATTGCTGCCTACGGGTATGATACGTTGTTGTATACGGCAAAGAAACATAGTTGTATACGGGTATTAAACATAGTTGTATACGGGTATGATACGTTGTTGTACACGGGCATGATACCTTGTTGTATACGAGTATGATACGTTCTTGTATAAGGGTATGTAACATAGTTGTATATGGGTTTGATACGTTGTTGTATACGGATATGAAACATAGTTGTATACGGGTATGATACGTTATTGTATACGAGTATTATACGTTTTTGTATACAGGTATGATACGTTGTTGTATACAGGTATGATACGTTGTTGTATACGGGTATGAAACATAGTTGTATACGGGTATAATATGTTGTTGTATATGTGTATGAAAAATAGTAGTATACGGGTCTGATACGTTGTTGTACACAGGTATGATATGTTTTTCTATACGGGTATGAAACATAGTTGTATACGGGTATGAAACATTGTTGTATACGGGTATGAAACATAGTTGTATACAGGTATGATACGTTATTGTAAACAGGTATGATACGTTGTTGTATACGAGTATGAAACGTATTTGTATACGGGTATGAAACGTTGTTGTACACGGGTATGAAATGTTGTTGTACACGGGTATGATACGTAGTTGAAAGGACGTATCAATATGTTCTTGTGGGCGTAATAGCGAATGCCGTTCTTTTTCGTACCTGATACGTTCGTAGCACGTTCACAGCAGTATGAGGCGTTGAAGTGGGCTGAGAACTTAGTTTAAATTTGTTCGCTAAAAATCCGTAACACATTGTTACAGATGATGACCTTGAAGCACTGCTGGAAGAAGTAATACGAGCGAGCAACCAAGGAGTGTCCGCCTCGAGGAACGTCAGTGGCGGACCGAACTGGAGCTTTGGGCAGTCCCTTTTCTTCTCCTCCACAGTAGTCACGACGATTGGTGAGATTTAGTTTTGTAAAATACATATATTTGCATAACTGGTCCATATTTAATTTAAGTAAACTTAGACCTAGACTAACATAGGAAGCAAGCCAATACCATACTCATCTTATTTTTGAAACACGCGCTCACGTGCACACAATATTATGTATCTAAATTTATTTGCAACCAACAACATTGTTTTAGGTGCTTATGTGTGCGTCCAGTGAGTTTATGTGTCAAGAAGCTTAATATTGTTTTTGGCATCATTTGAAATATACGCAGCGCTCTGGCTATCTTCCTATGTTGGTCTGAGAGCTCCCCTGAGCTACCAGAGGTATCCTAGTAAGCCTAGTTCATTTCCATAACAAGGAAGATTGTGGGTTATCCTCAAACATGTCAATGGTTGAACTAAATTCACGTTTTTGTTCCAGGCTACGGTCATGTTACCCCTCTTTCGAAACCTGGCAAGCTGTTTTGCATGGTGTATGCTCTACTCGGTATACCATTGACATTGGTGCTGTTGTCTGCGCTGGTGGAACGTCTCTTACTGCCCGCCACGGCGCTGCTACGGTCCCTCAATGCAGCACTTGGGCACCTATACCGCCCCTTCACAATACGACTTGTGCATTTGATGATTATTGGTAAGTTAAATGGTTTGTAGACGTAGAAAGAATGAGTGAGAAAGAGTCACAAAGCCAATGTATGCAGCAGAATCGGCAAAAGACGCTTCAGACGAAAGTTTTTTTTTATAGAATAAGAATAGAATAGAATAGAATAGAATAGAATATTTTTTATTCAATATACATTACATGTGTAATTCTTATTGAAAGTCATTTTTTACTTTACCACTGGTTCGAAAAAAACCCTCTGTCCTGGGAAGAACCAACAAGAAACCCAGCGGGACTTTTTTTTAAAATAAATTTTACAATATAAATGATTACGAACTATTTACAAAATTTATTTTAGAAACTGCTTGGAAGCTATCACCTCATTCCCAGGGGTTATTATCAACCATGTATTCATTTATACTATAATAACCCTTTTTATACAGTTTCAGCTTAATAAAACATTTAAACTTGGTAATAGAGAGAACCTGTACACTTTCCGGAACCTTGTTGTAATAGCGTATACATTGCCCCAAGAATGAATTACTGACTCTGTGGAGTCGAGAAACTGGTATCACTAGCTTGTGTTTGTTCCTAGTATTTACAGAATGTATATCACTTCTTTTACTAAAACTATCTTAGTTTTTGTGAACATACATTAAATTTTCGTAAATATACTGAGAGGCCAAAGTTAATATATTAATTTCTTTAAATTTATCTCTAAGAGACTCTCTCGGTTTTAGATTGTAAATAGCTCTAATGGCCCTCTTCTGTAAAACAAAAATAGTTTCTGAATCAGCTGCATTTCCCCATAGCAAAATCCCATAAGACATTATGCTATGAAAATAACTAAAATAAACTAATCTAGCTGTCTCGACACTAGTGAGACCTCTAATCTTTTTTACAGCATAGGCTGCAGAACTTAGTCTGCCTGCTAATTTGGATATATGGGGGCCCCACTGGAGCTTTGCGTCAAGAGTGATGCCAAGAAAAACAGTGGATACAACAGGGTTCAATTCCTCCCCATTTAAAAACACATTGGTATTCAGATTTTGAACATTCGTTGTTGTAAATTTAACACAATTAGTTTTATTTCCGTTCAAATGCAGATTATTAACGTTAAACCAATGCACTAATTTTGATATAGCATTATTCACTTCGTCACATTTAAATGATTGACCTTTAAGTTTAAAAATCAAAGAAGTATCATCAGCAAATAATACTATATCATGACTATCCCCTACAAGGTGAGGTAAGTCATTAATATACACCAGAAACAGGAATGGGCCGAGAATCGAGCCCTGAGGTACACCCATTAGTACAGGTGACCCGGAAGAACTTTTACCATTGATAATAACCTTCTGTTTTCTATTACTTAAATATGAAATAATAAGTTTAAGCGCTGTGTTCTTGACACCATAGTACTGTAGCTTCCTGATTAATGTCTCATGGTGAACACAGTCGAAGGCCTTGGAAAGGTCACAAAATATACCCAAAGCATCCTCTGAATTCTCCCATGCACAAAAAATATGTTTAATAAGCTCAACTCCAGCGTCAGTTGTCGAGCGACCCCTTGTAAAACCGAATTGATTATTATGTAGCAATTTATTAATATTAAAGAAACTTAACATCTGATCTAAAATAATTTTTTCAAAAATTTTACTTAATGTTGGTAGTACAGAAATTGGTCTAAAATTGGCGGGGTCTAATGTACTACCAGATTTAAATATAGGTATGACTTTACTATGTTTCATTAAATCAGGAAACACACCAGATTCGACGCTTATATTAAATATAGTGGCTAGATAAGGTGCTAATGTATCTATTATAGATAAAATAACTTTAACGGAAATCCCCCATAAGTCTGCCGTTTTCTTAACATCAATAGTTTTAAAATATTTAACGATATCTTTTGGCAGTACCCTATGGAATTTAAAAGTATTTGAACAAGCCTTTACATTTTGTTTGAGCAATGATTCGGCGACAGTAGGAGAAGAATTTAATGATTTTGTTGTCAAAGAAGGAACATCAGTAAAATGTTTCTCAAAAGCCATAGCAACTTCTTGATCAGATCGCGTTAAATTATTGTTAATATGCAATTGAAAATCCGAGTTGCGCGGTTTGACCTTGCCCGTTTCACTATTTATTATTCTCCAGGTCATTTTAATTTTGTCGGATGCAGTTTTAATTTTGTTGCTTAAATGTAAAGCCTTAGCAGTGGAGCACACTTTTTTAAATATTTTAGAATATGTTTTTACATAATCTCTAAATATAACACTACTATTATATGATCTTTCATCATAAAGCTCGTATAACCTTCGCCTACTTTTATAAATTCCTACTGTCGCCCATTCATTAAAGGATTTGCGACTGTTAAAAGAGAAAGTTTTAGAAGTAAATATTCTACTAAATTCACAACTTATAATTTCAAATAATGTGGCATACAAATAATTAGCACTATTTTTAAACGAAAGTGATGGAAGTCTTTTTATTATATTACTTCTAAACCTCTCCAAGCGATGTTCATTTATTGGAACAAACACAACTTTCTTATTTTTATGTTTTTTGTGTATGTAAGGTAGTGATACTAACTGTCCACAGTGATCTGAACTTAAATTTTGAATAATTGATTTATGCAAGGGCTTAACATCTGTAAAAATGTTATCTATACAGGTCGCACTAGGCCCAGCAATACGTGTTGGTTCTAAGAATAAATTTACAAGATTATACGATTTAAACAATGAGCTAAACTTAATACTAATGGAAGAAGTTTCAAGGAGATTGATATTAAAGTCTCCACACATTACAACAGACTTGTTCTGTTTACTAAGTTTGAGTAAAACTTCTTCCACAATCCTTTCAAAATGGTCATAAGTAGCACATGGGGGTCTGTAAACACTTACAACAATGAGGTGCTCGAGCTCGACACAAGCCATTTCTACAGTTCGTTCAACAGAGAGGCTCACAATATCCTTACGTTCTTTATATAATAATGGTTTATCTGCTAATATTAAGGAGCCACCACGTAAACTTTTTTCTCTATTGAAGGAACTGACCACCTGGTGATTTCTGAAATTAAACATGAAATTATAATCTTTTTAGCCAATGTTCAGTAATACAAAGGATGTGTATATTGTTACTATTTAAAAACAATTCAACTTCCAATTCTTTGCCCAACATGCCTTGTATATTTTGATGCACCAGGTGTAAACAATTTTTATTACTTATTTGTGGGCTGTATTCAAAATTAATTAAACTCTTATTATTGCTAGAGATTGCCTCTATTGTCACATTCACTAATTTAAATTAGTTGGAACTGATTCCAAATTAAATGTCAAATGATTATGCTCAATAAAAGCAGTCTTGGTAGCCAAAAACTTGGCTGAGTTAAAAAGTAAATAATAAGATAGCACATTTGCTATCAGTCTTAAATTATATTTGGATAGGTAATACCTATCTTTTGTCCAAAACTTTTTTATTAAATTATTTATGTGAATTACATGAAATTTATGATTATTATCATTAGAATTATATGTCAAATTTAAATTATTATTATTACATATTAAATTATGCATTTGTATATTTAAATTATGTCTTAAATTATTTTCTTGTGGCAATCCCTGTATATAAGGCAGTGTGAACAAGACAATTTTGTGACCAAACGAGCACACAGAGTACCTGATGGTAAGTGGTTGCTGTAGCCCATAGACATCTACGTCTATCCTCGGTTACGAATTAAAATGCATATGCGTTGTCAGCCGTGAGGATTAAAATAGAATACCTCTTTTCCAGTAAAATGTGTCTCCGGTTCTCTACATTCACCAAACGAAAACACAGCAGCATTAAGCTGCTATTTTACACCGTTATTCTGTGAGAGCGTGGACGTGGTCCTTCCCCGACCCATTCGTGCTACAACTATACTATTAATATAGCTGCAGCATGGCTTTGCCACGTAAATCACCAAATTGGCGATATATTGAAGAAAGTGTAATCGTACTAATTTCTTAGACTTTTTCTTGCGTAGCCTGCATCCGCCAAATTCGTACTACCCGATAAGGAACTACGTTCCAAAAAACTAGTCGTCATTTTGTATGGTACTATATTATAATTTGTAATAATAATTATTTTACGCAATTATATATTATTAAAATATATTACTAGAAAAAAATAATACTCAATTAAAATTATTTTACAATTTCTCTGATGCCCGAACCATCTCCCGAACAAGCTTATCGCACAAACGTTAATCATCGTAAAGACAAGCGAGTCACATAAGCACAATAACATAAGCTTGTGCTTTTTGGTCGAAATTGCTAATTCGTTCTCACTCAGAATAACTCAAGATATGTATAACTTGGTGTAGAGTTCCTATGTTTTTGAGTCTGGTTTCGTACCACTCTTCCCTTCCCGCTTAGAAGCAGAGCAAATCTGAGCTCGGGCTTAAAAGATAAGAGAGATTTTATAATTACAGGCTCAAAGTGGTAGAACTGCTTTGCTACCCGGGAATCCTTTTAGATAGATTTTATACCTCTCTCACAGAATACCAGCGTAAAATAACAGCTTAACACTGCTGTTTCGTATGGTGAGTGTAGAGAACCGGAGACCCTTTTTACAGGAAAAGAGGCATTCCATCTTAGTCCTCACGGGTGACAACGCATCTGCATTTTGATTCGCAAACGAGGATAGACGTAGATGTCTACGAGCCACAGCAACCACTTACCATCAGGTTTTTTTTTTATAGGAGAGGGGGCAAACGAGCATGCGGCTCACCTGATGGTAATGTGTGTTCGTTTTTTCACTACCCCTTGTGTCATAGGTAGACGCCCTTGGCAGCGAAATAAGGAAGTGAGATGGAATAATATCCATGTCCCTCGCGCTTTTCCTTATCATGCCATGAAAGAAATATTATTTTATTTCAAATGGCGCTTTATTTTAATAGACGCTAGTAATTCATTTATTTGTATTTGTTAATCAATAATATAATACCTACGTTTATCAATAATAATATACCTACTACGCAAGGAACTTCGTTCCAGCCGAGTGTTCCACCACACTCACGCATTTTTATATCATATATTATACATATATTTATAATATAAAAATAAGTAATAATGTGTAATTTTATATCACAAAAATGCATAATACAAATATTAATACACGTGATAAAATTCGTAAAAACTAATTATATTTAAATGTGTAGTGTTCGCGTAATCGCGTAAACATAAGAAATAATAATATAATTCAATTTCAGTGATGATATTCGTGGTGTTCTTCATCCTGGTGCCAGCAGCGATCTTTGCGAGCCTTGAGCCTGATTGGGATTTCCTGGATTCATTGTACTATTGCTTTATCTCGTTGACGACCATCGGCCTCGGCGACTACATCCCCGGCGATTCGCCCGGACAACCCTACCGACCGCTGTACAAGGTGGCCACTACGGGTGAGTTAAATTACTTATAACCAATAAATAAAAACAAAGTTGAACGTCAGACAAAATGCCGGTCATGTCAGGTGACAACAGCGGTCTCTCAAGGTCTCAACTCTATTTTGAAATATATGAATATTATTTATTTCTTTAACAATTGGAGGACTCGCACAGCTATACAATTTTGCCAGTTTCAAGATATGGGAAATCCTTTGGTACTGTTGGAGTAAGATAGCTCAGGTGGAAAATGATGTGCACAGCTTCGAACTATAAAACCGTGTAATTCGGTTGACGCCGCACAATTACAATAAAATTATATCTAATGACATTTATGGTAGGTAAAATAAAAAAAATGCATTACAATTGTTCTTCAAACAACACATTCCGTGATGGTAATTTGCGCGCCTGCTGCCTTCCTTGGATGTGGTAGCCGTTTTTCAGGCTCCCTCTCCGGAATCGAACCCTGATTCCCCGTTACCCGTGACAACCATGGTAGTCGCAGAAACTACCATCGAAAGTTGATAAGGCACACATTTGAAAGATGCGTCGCTGGTGCTGGACCATGCAATCGGCAAAAGTTATCCAGATTTATCAAAATTAACGACTTCGGACGCGAGGCCCTCCGTCGATTGGTTTTGATCTAATAAAAGCACTCATCCCATCACTGGTCAGAGTTCTCGGTGCTCGGCGGATTGGTTGCTAGTATCATTACTCGACTCTAATTGTCATAATGACGAGTCCTCCTGAAATTGATTATTAGGGGAGCAATTAGATGCTTGACTGCATTGACTTCCTTCTGAAAGCAAAGAACTTAGTTTTAAAATCTGAAAGATGAATTAATGTGTTGTGACTTGTGACGTCGGTTGCATATCATACATCCCTTTTTCTTACAATAATTAGCATAGTGCCCGGCGCGAAAGCAATTGAAGCAAATTTTAAATTGGGGCAATATTTCTAGCCTTCTTTCTTCGGTAAGATTAAGAAATTCGGGACAGTCTTGAATGGCACGATCACCATGACATATAGGACATAATGATTTAGGAATGAAGTGAACGTTATCCTCACTCGGTTCCAAGTGTGTGTTTACTACAGACACTAAACCTTTATGCTTAGCGCTAGATGACGGATTTAGGTGCTTTAACTGATTATTACGAGACATTTCCACCGTTTCAAGCCTTACCCCACGATTTCGCTAATAATCGATAAGAACCTTTAAAGTTTTCACTATCTAATCGACTTTTATATTCCTCCCTATTGACGCTTAGCAATGAGTTGCTGCGCTGGTGGCTGCGGGATCATATCCCGCACGGAACAAGTATTTGTATGGCCTGCAAGTAACTGTTCCAGGTCTGGATGTTTGTCCTCGTGCAATTTATGTTTGTAAACTGCCTCCACGACACAGGAGAAAATCCTAGTAGGTGGGTGTTCAGAGAAGTGTCGATGAGTTTGACCAATGCAGCAAGGAATATGAGGAATGAGGAAAGAAGCAAATTGTGTAATTAAAACAATACATAGATAACTTGAAAGCATCCCAAACTCAAAGACTATTCGTCGAGGAGTTCCAGTAGCGGTAAGGGCTCATCATAACTAACTAAGCGAGGCCAAACTCGGCACATCTAGTTCTCCTCGTCGAGGAGTTCAAGAAGCAGTCATCAAAGTACACTTTCAAGTCACTCTATCAAGTCCGAATGTAAGGTCTCATCATAACTCACAAAACGAACTCAAACTCGGCACAACTAATTCTCCTCATCGAGGAGTTCCAGAAGCAGTCATCAAAGTATACTTTCAAGTCACTTTATCAAGTCCGGATGTAAGGTCTCATCATAACTCACAAAACGAGCCCAAACTCGGCACATCTAGTTCTCCTCGTCGAGGAGTTCCAGTGGCAGTCTTCAAAGTACACTTTCAAGTCATTTTATTAAGTCCGGGGGTAAGGTCTCGTCATAACTAACAAAACGAGTCCAAGCTCGGCACATCTAGTTCTCCTCGTCGAGGAGTTCCTGTAGCAGTCATCAAAGTACACTTTCAAGTTACTCTATCAAGTCCGGAGGTAAGGTCTCATCATAACTAACATAACGAGCCCAAACTCGGCACATCTAGTTCTCCTCGTGGAAGAGTTCCTATAGCAGCCACCAAAATACACTTTCAAGTCACTCTATCAAGTCCAGAGGTAAGGTCTCATCATAACTAACAAAACGAACCCAAACTAGGCACATTTAGTTCTCCTCGTCGAGGAGTTCCAGTAGCAGTGCAAATACCGAAGTACATTTTCAGGTCTATAAAGTCCAAGACGCATAAGTATATTTATATATAAATCCTGCGTGCTTTTAGGGAAACAAAATATTTTAATAAAAATCTGTGATTATAAACATAATAATAATATCTTACCTTGGTTAAGTATGTATCAAATTTGATTTTTGGAATATTTTGTATTTTTACGGCAATCTTTTTCGCTGCAAACAAGCGATACAATATCCACTCACAACGGCGGCCGAGGCCGAAATGACGAATGACAGGTGAAATAGTGTATTTAGTAAAATAAAATTCATACAAGGCTGCTAAAACACCTAAAATTTCGACATTTTGCAGCCGAAAAAATTAATTATAATTTAAAAAAAATTATACAATCATAAATTTTACATCATACAATTATAAAATAAAATTAAACTGCCATTTACATTCAATGGCTTCCCACATGAAAGATGAAGGGTTTTTAAAATAGATTGAGTTGAACAATTGATATTTTTAAAAGTTATCGTGTTTACAAAGCCATGCGGACTTGATAAATCTACGCCATAAGCTACTAAAAACACCTTGTATGTAAAAATAGCAATTAATCGATTTAAAAAAATGTTAATAAGTTCAACAATCATTTATCTTTCTGACAATGTGCTTTTTATTTAATTTATATGTATAATATGATTGCTAGATACGATTTCATGCGACAAAACGTTGGAATCTTGATTTTTAGGCGCTAAAACATACCTACGCGCTCTGCGCTTACGGCATGCAATATTCAATTGAGGTGGGAAATATGAATAACTGATATGAGACTGATATAAAGTGTCTAAATTCGACAATTTTATCACTTAAAAACTCCCTTGCTAATTCTATTTCGGTGCTCATCGAGTGGCTAGGCCAGTTAGGCGTCATTTGCGCACCGAGCCATGTTGAATTATTTAATTTTTTTTAATTTTTCATTATCTCTTAAACTATGCGTCCAATAACATGCTATAAAGAGCATAGTTTATCTTCATAAAATTATCTTGATGATGAAGTAACATTCTTTCGTATGGATTAATATGCTATGCCTTAAGAGCGTAGTCGGTCTGCGCGGGAATTGTGAAATAGGTATTTGAATAAACTATTGCCGTCGCGCTATATATGGTCTCCCCCCATAGAGTGTGATAGGGACAACTGCAGATCAGAACGATTTTACCTACAAAAACCATGACAGATCGATGTTTCGTATTCCCCTGTTTCCTCCTCGAAAACTAAGCCGATTAAATTATTTTTGGCATCAAAATTTAAAGGAAGAATAGATCTATGCTCCTATTACTTGATTTTATGTTAAAACCTTTTCAAATTTCTTTGGTAGTCGTCTGATTACGGAGGTAAAAACGGGGCATTTTTATTTTTGTAATAATTTATTGGGAAAAAATGAATGACAGGGGCATGCCTTCAATAAAACTAGATTTTTATAAACAAAAACGATTACTCTAGAGGCATTATCCAAGTAGAGAATAGGGGAATACATTTGTATCGAATAAATGCAGCCCGTCTACGCTCTTAACGCTCATAAATCACTTTTTAATTTTCAATATTTTTTTGTCACAAAATACCTTATTGTGGCTTATGTATAAGAAATAGGACTTTTTTTTAGATGGAGAGAAAATATATATTTTTGTAGAACATAGTATTTACATATCACTAACCATTACGCCGGCGCAGCAGCTTTTTCTTTCGGCGTGCTTAACAAAACTCAATATTTAAGGCTAGCTGAGAGGTATAGTGTAATACTAAATAGCTTGTACTATTCTTATAGAATCTGGCTATGATATACAAAAAGAATTTATCAAATGGAATGGGTAGTTCCAGAGATTAACGTGTTTAAACAAACAAAAAACCTATTACGCTCATTATTATAGTATACATTCTATTTCATTCTTTCCTATAGATTTAGGTATATATTTGTTTCTTTTTAGTGTCGCTTTTTCGTTTCATTCGTTTCAAATCACAACGACGATAAAGAAGATTTTGATTCTAAAAAAACTTCTGTACAATATGCTGATGCGTCACATTGCGAATATTTTGAAAAAAATTGATGTCAGCTTAATCCAGCGGAAAGTCGCTGACGACAGTATCTCAAGATCATATTTGTCTGTTACTGGTCTAAGTGCAAATTATTGTTGTTGGAAAAAATCTCCCAATCATTATATTATATTTAGCTTTTTTAAATTACAATTTAATTAATAACTTATCTATGAATAATAACGCAGATATTATAATTTACTATTGTCGTAGATTTTAAGGTTCAATTTGGTTTTATAGGGATATGGTAACAGAGAGCCGTGTTTACTACTTGGTTTTTTTTTTTTTTTTTTTTTTATATGAGAGGGGGCAAACGAGCATGCGGCTCACCTGATGGTAAGTGACTACCGCCGCCCATGAACAACCGCAACACCAGGGGAATTGCAGATGCGTTGCCGGCCTTTTAAAAAGGAGTAGGCTCTTTTCTTGAAGGTCCCTAAGTCGTATCGGTCCGGAAAAATCCCTGGTGGTAAACTATTCCACAAGGAAGTTGTGCGAGGAAGAAAACATCTTCTAAATCGCACAGTGGTGGACCGCCAATCATCCAGATGGTGTGGATGGTATCGGGAGTTCTGCCGCGATGTGCGTTCGTGAAATTTGGCGGCTGGGATTAATCCGAACAATTCCTCAGAGCACTCCCCATGGTAGATGCGAAAGAAAATGCAAAGAGATGCAACATCTCTTCGCAGTGCCAATGAATCGAGCCGATCGGAAAGGGCTCGGTCGTCGACGATTCGAGCCGCTCTGCGCTGGATGCGGTCAAGTGGAAGGAGCTGGCACTGGGGAGCCCCTGCCCAGAGATGGGAACAGTATTCCATGTGAGGCCGAACCTGCGCCTTGTAAAGTTGCAGGCGGTGTGCCGGCATGAAATACTGTCCCGCTCTGCTGAGCACGCCAAGCTTTTTAGAGGCCAATTTGGCCTTCTCTTCCAAGTGACCACGAAACTGCACGTCACTCGATATGTCGACTCCGAGGATACCGATACTGGCTGAGGCAAGAAGGGGAGTGCCTTGAAACTGAGGAGATACGACAAAGGGGTTCTTTTTAGCGGTAAACGCGCAAACTTGTGTCTTCTGAGGATTAAACTGGACTAGATTTAGTCGCCCCCAATCCGAGACTTTGTCCAGCAAAGACTCGACTTCAGACACAAGTTTGTTCCGGTACTCGGCGACGTTTTCCCGAGAAATATTGGCCCGGCCGGTGTATAGAGCATCACCAGTGCTGTCATCCGCATAGCAATGAATGTTACCAGTTAGCAACATATCATTGATATGCAGAAGAAACAGCGTTGGTGATAGCACACAGCCTTGTGGAACACCAGCGTTAATAGGCTTGTAGTCAGAACATGCACCGTCTACAGCGACCTTGATGCTCCGATCTGCAAGAAAGCTGGTGATCCAATTGCACAATTTCTCGGGAAGCCCATAGGAAGGCAGCTTTGAAAGAAGCGCTTTGTGCCAAACCCGATCAAAGGCCTTCGCAATGTCCAGACTAACGGCCAACGCCTCCCCCTTGGACTCTACTGCCTCCGCCCATCTATGGGTCAGGTAGACAAGAAGATCACCAGCTGATCGACACCGACGAAAACCGTATTGGCGGTCACTAATCAGCTGGTGATCCTCAAGGTACCGGATGAGCTGGCAGTTAATAATGGATTCCATTATTTTGGAGAACAAGGAGGTGATCGCGATAGGCCTATAGTTGGACGGGTCTGAGCGGTCGCCTTTTTTAGGGATCGGGTGGACAAAAGCTGTCTTCCATGAATTCGGGACTACGCCTTGGGAGTAGGAGTACCGGAAAAGACGCGTTAGGACCGGTGCCAACTCCGGAGCACACGTCCTCAGCACAATTGGGGGGATTCCGTCAGGCCCACTCGACTTCTGGATGTCCAGGGAGAGCAGTGCTTTGCGAACCGAGCGCTGTGAGAACAGCACATCCGGCATGGAGCACTCACACCGCGGGATGGTCGGCGGTGTTTTCCCCCCGTCATCAAGAGTCGAGTTGGACGCAAAAAGGGAGCCTAAAAGGTCGGCTTTGTCTTTTGCGTCATGGGCCAGTGAGTCATCCTCCCTGTGCAGAGATGGTAGTGATGGCTTACAGAAATTCCCTTGGACAGCCTTGGCGAGAGACCAGAATGCACGGGTTCCCGAAGGAAGGCGAACTAGTCTCTCGCCAATTCTGCCTATGTGCTCTGACTTTGCCTTGGCAATAACTCTTTTGAAGGACCTGGAGGCGAAGGTTGGTGATTTATTTGCAACTGGTTCAAGAAATTTTGCTATTAAATATTAAACGGACTTACACATCCATACGTATTCACACTTACGCGCGCTCTCATATAGATCATTCTATCCGAACAACTATTGTAATACATTAATTCAAACTTTTTTCCACAAATATGTGCCTAGAAAAAAAAATCAGCAATTTTACCGCTAAAAATAACTGACACTACATTTTTCAGTATACTTAATCACCGGGCTGACGTTCCTCATGCTGACGCTCACCGTGTTCTACGACATACCGCAGCTGAACCTCAGCACGGTGTTCTCGTCGATAAAGTTGGACGAAGACCCCGAGAAGATGCGGCTTAGTGGGTCGGGTGCGGGACCCGGATACGGGATCGGGGGCCTCGTTATGCGCGACGACTACGGACACGACCAGCGCCGCTCCGTCGTCCACATCCGGCCCCACCTCGACGACAGCCCCAGCCCTGAAGACACCACGCCCGTACACGCGCGAGACATTCGAGTTCATTAAAAAATATAAATATACTTATATGCAACATTTTTTTTCTTTGTCACCTTCATTGTGTCTTAAACGTTTTGGGCAGTGTAAAAGTAAATAAACTTAACATTATAAATATACCAACTCAAGCAATAATATTAAAAATACCATTAGGCCTCTTGTTAAAATCTATTAGTGGCATCTTTCATGAAAATAACAATAATTTTACACGCGCGAAACGTTTAAGGTGGTTCATGAAAATGAAACAAAAATATGTTTTTTTTTTAATTGTAATGATAACCGAGTCAAAGACTTTCCAGCCAGTGTCAAGAATCACAATTAAAATCTATGAACTTTTTAAGAAATATTAGCCTCAGATATAAAACTCGGTTGAAGATGACAGATTAATAGGATTCAGAATGTCTCAAAAAACTTAAATATTCACCTAAGCTATTGTATTTTGAAAGTAGAATGTTTGGCGTTATTAGATAATAAAAATGAGAAATTAAGAAAATGAGTATAGAACTTGACATGTGTTTATTTTAAATTACGCACAACAGAAATCAAGTATTTGTGTTTTCATAATGTTTATAATTGTTTACACAACTCATTTAAAGATATTTATATATTAATAATTCAAATGACTAGCAAAGCAATTCTAAACAATTTTAATAGTAATCTCAATCTATCTAAATTGAGAATAGTGCATGGTATCACGTCAGTACCTACTCTGTTACTATAATATTTAAAAAGGATAACTGAAAATATATAATCTTATGTTTTGAGAAACGAAAGTATGTATGAAAATATAACTAGCAATGTAACAATATGCGTGCTTTCCAAAAAAAAAAACATGTAATTAGTGCATTGTATCACGTCATTACCTACTCTATTAATGAAACTTTATACCTAAGTAAAAAATGCAAAATTTACCGTCCCTTTACAAATCATAATTACTTTAATTCTTCAAAATCTCGATGAATGGAGAAAAGGGTCTTTCTTCGTATGGTATTTAATCGAACCTTGTTCGCGATAAGACTGAAAAAGGCTTTTCAAATTTTCACACTTTTCTATTCAAACTGTTATATTTTCTACGCGTAGAAAATTTTAAAGGATATTACGTGACCAAAGTATCCCAAAGTATACGCCTACAGAAACTATACAAGGAACGAACAAAGATTTAATCTCAAATATATCAATGGCATATCAATAAAAAATCAACAACATTTATTAATATTTAGTAAAAATATTGGATTCGTATTCCTTATCAGCAGAATCTTGCACAGTGCATTCTATACAGGAAAGACAAAAAAAAACTTTAAGAAGTACATTTATCAAATACAAGTCATAAATTTTATAACCAATAATTTGTAGTATGTAAGAAAAATTATAATATAATATAAACTTTAGTAGTTCAAAATCCTATGTAGTCAATGCTTAAAATGCGTTGGTCTAATATATATGCATAAATATCTAGAAGCCGAAACGCGGTTACACCTAGGTTTAGCCGGCTAAACTAAGTGCAGTCGATTGCAGTAGGTTAAACTTAGGTGTTTTCGACTTATTAATGGCTATAATTCAAAATTTAAAAAAAAACAGCTGATGACCTTGAAACGGCTGAATCGATTTTGACAAAACATGTCTAAGATCACCGCTAGAAAATTAGCTTTACAATTACATTTAAAAGCAATAAAAAAGCCTGACACAAATCGGTTCACCCCTTTAAGAGCTAAGGTGCCACAGACAAACAGACAGACAGACACACATAACGATCAAACTTATAACACACTACATTTTTGCGTCGGGGTTTAAAAACTAAGTGTGTCCGGTTGTTTTCGGGTAAAACAAGATGTAGTAAAGTCCTGATAATAATTGAAATGTCTATAACTAATAACAACTTTGTCAAAATTACGAAAACACCTGTTAAGAACTGTCAGTTGTAGTATGCTATTAATTAAGACTTCTGTTTTTGTCAAAATTACGAAAGCACCTATCAAGTAATATCAGCGACAGTAGGTTAAGCCTGCGGCCAAAGCTATGGACATTTATATTATTTATAAATTATTTAAGCAAATAGCTATAAGTTTAAACAACCACAATCGACTGCACCTAGCTGTAGCCGGCTAAATCTAGGTGTAAACGCAATTCGGCTTTTATCTATAACACATATATAAAAATGAATGTTATATTAAAATGAAGATACCAATTATTGTAAAATCATATAAATGTCTTATTAATGTTTCATATAAATGTTTAAGATGACATAATATGTGGTTATAAATGTTTTAACACAAATGTAAAAAATATAAAAAATATCTCTGTAGTTGTTTAGAAACATAAGTTTTTCTAATCTCGTTCTTCATTACACTACCTTGATCTCCTATTCAGTTTTTATTTTATTATAAATTTTAGTTCTTTTAATAAGACATCAAATAATTAAAAAGTTAAAACGATGCGCAACCAATGACAATATTAATTAAAGTTACGACGAGATTTGTACAAATTATATATCACAGAAATTATTTTTAACGTATACTTTTTCATACGCTCCATTTCTTTTGTACTCTTTGATCATTAAAAAACTATGATATATTTTTATTCTATTTTTAAAAACTTGACAACACTGGTATCTGCAGTTTAGAGAAATTTGCATGACAATGTAAAACAACGAAAACTTCTGAAAGGTTTCAATACATTCACAGTGTCGTCGAATATACTTATTGCAACAATTACAGGGAACATCATAAATGGACATATGTTAATTTTATTTGCTTTTTAATTCTTTACTGTAGGATATTAAGAACTCTTATTATAATGTCTACAATGTGAATCAATGTATCAATTTAGAAATATGTCACACTAAATATATTAGGAAGAATATTTATTTACACGTGAAATTATCATTGAGATATCATGTACTAATTATATAATATGTATTAATAGAAAATAGATTGTAGTGAATAGCGAAGTTGTAACACAAAAAGCCTTTATGTAGTAAAAAAAATATTAGACCGAAATAACAATTATATCTGAGAAACTGAAATAAATACTTGTACCTATGATGACTTTTCCGTTTTATTTACAACCTCAAAACTATACAACATGTAAAAAAAAACTTTCTTTGACAATACTTCCCGCCCAATGCAGCACCATTTATTTACAATTTGCAAATGAAAATTTATTTAAATTATTATTTTATGGTCGAGTTTTCTGAAGTAAAGTTATTTCTGTACGCTTAAATACTGATTCTGATAACGTACTCGTACTTGACGGGACCCATTGAGTTTTTGTTACATCTATACAAATAAATAAAATTGAAGTGTCTGTTTGTAATGTCAAAATAATAGCTTTGTACTAAATGCATATGAAAGTATATACGGTACATATTAAAACAGTAAACTTGTATGGAAGTTCATTAAAAATAATACCTTCAGTTCAAAAAAATCTTTAACCCCCACTTGATCTACTGTCATTAGACAAAAACCCAAACGAAGCAACCAATAAAGTAAATAATTATTTTATTATGTTGTCATGTTATGTTGTTTGCAAAAAAATAGCAGAGACAACTTTAAAATTAAGCAACACTCGTAATCCAATTTTTATGCCCACATCCTTTTCTAAGTTAAATTCTTTTGTATTGTTAAATACCGATATTGATGAGGTTTTAAGTATAATATCTGGCTTAAAAGAAGATTGTACAGTTGGATGGGACAATATACCTAATCGCATACTGAAAAGATTTAAACATTTACTGGCCGCCCCGTTAACACATATCTTTCAATTATGCCTATCAAATGGTATTTTCCCGAAAGTGCTTAAAAAAGCAGTGGTTTCTCCTATTTACAAAGCTGGTGATAAAAACTTAGTTAATAACTATAGGCCAATTTCAGTTTTATCTGGTTTAGATCATAAATACCAGGTTAAAACAATACCTGAAAAATAATAACTTGCTGTCAGACAGACAATTTGGTCTTAGGCTCTAATGATGCCTTGCACCAATTGACTGATTATGTCACAAGTAATCTTGACAATGGTATGCACTCAATTGGGATCTTTTTAGACCTTGCCAAAGCATTTGATACTATCTCTTGCCCTATACTATTGCAGAAGCTTGAAAATTTTTGTAGTTGAGTTCCCCTTATGCCAAGTGCATAAGGGGAACTCAACTACAAAAATTTTCCGATTACCTCAGTGATCGTTTTCAATGTGTAAAAATCGGTGAGTATACAAGTACTGAATTACAAAACAGCTCTTATGGAATCCCACAGGACAGTATCCTGGGGCCTACATTGTTCCTAATTTATAGAAATGACTTATGCAATCTTCAACTTCAAAATGGTGTCATAATGTCGTATGCGGATAATACAGCCCTGTTATTCTCAGCTAAATCACGAGATGAGGTTTACAAATACGCTCAGCAAGGCTTTAATATAATATCTAATTGGCTTCTTAATAATCTCCTACATTTAAACGCAGATAAAACACAATATATGTTATTTTTAATGAGAAATAATAACATACCTACTCACCTAAATATTTACGCTCATCATTGTAACTCGTATGATGACAATGCATGTGCATGTCCCTCATTTACAAAAACAGACAATATAAAATATCTAGGTATCACGCTTGACACAAATTTAAATTTCCGCAAGCACATCGATTACTTTGTGCTAGAGTTCGTAAATTAATATAACTAGTCAGCTCATAAGTATTGTCACACAGTAAAAACTTTTCTTTTAGAATGCTGGCCACAAAAAAGTTTATTGAATTCGAATTTCGACTTGTTCATGAAAATAAAACTGTATACTTTTAGAATTTTACTCATTTTTAAATATGGAGTGGACGCTTAAAGAAGACCGTTTTGCAGTTATTGCAGTTATTGCGTTGCGGTTACGCGCCAATTCAAATTTTTGACATACTGAAAAGTTTGAATATGACCAAAAGATTCGTTTATCGTACCATCAAACGATACAATGAAGACTCTTAGTGTAGATGACAGGTCAAGAAGTGGTCACCCTCGGTCTGTTAGGACTCCAGCAGTGATAAAAGCTGTGAAGGCGAGAATTCAAAGAAATCCCAAACGTAAGCAGAAACTGTTTCCACACTAGCCATTAAATATAATATAGTATGTAGTGTAATGATTGCATTTTATTAGATAATTCATTATATTTTTATTTTAGTTTTTGTATGTATATAATTTTGCAGTGTGTATATATATATATATGTGTATTCTTTTTTATCACACATTTAATTTACCCTACCCCTGTTATCTTCGTGTAATCCTGTCCATTCATTGGTAGTCTCGAAGAAATTACCGTTAGCAATAAGACCGCCCATTGCGTACTTCTTTGTGTTGGTGTGCAATAAAGAATAATAAATAAAAATAAATAAACAAAATACTTATTAATTGAAAGTTTGATGTATAATATGATTATTTAATTTATCAATGTTTTTATGTGTCGTACACAAAAAGTAATAAACTGTAAGTACGCTTTTTTTTTCAAATGTATGTAATGTCGGCGGCTGGCAAAGGTGTCTTGATAGCTGGATGGCACAAACAAAAATATCACTAAAGTCCACATATATATATTTATGTGGAATTTAGTGACATTTTTGTGAGATCCATTCTGCACACATAAACGGATTGCTAGGAAAGCTTAAATAAAAACAATAAAGCTAAGTATCTAATGAAATTACACAAATAGAGACAAAAGTAGCAATTACCATTATTTAAAGTTCTGGTAACAAATTACTAAAAATTATTACAATACAAATCTACTCCATGTACTCTACTGTTCTGGTTCACAAATGTTTACGCGTGTATGTAACCTTGGCAAAACATTTGTAGAGGTGCTTTAAAATCAGTAATTTTGTTTCAAATATGATAATAGTTGTTAGTTTAGAGCTTAAAATATAACTTATTCTACGCGTACTTACAGACAGTAAGACACCCCGGCTGTTTGCTTTTTCGGGCATTATTCTTGCAACCTTTAAATATACATTGCGGCATTGTGAAACGTGTTTACATTGGGTGTGTTTCAAGTCAACTAAACGAAATAAGAGCTCACGTCTCCAGTGCGCTGTTATTTACTTGGACGTATTTTTTGCGCCGACCTGATATCTAGTTGGTATCTGTGAGTACGTCTGTGAGCACATGACAGCGCAGTTGCGAAGAGATACCAATAGAGTGTTTGGGCCCATCGGGATTAAATCCAGTCTAAAAGAGCTATTTTTCACTGTCCTCTCACTGCAGGTAATCTCCAAATGGGACGATGCCAATCTTGTCAAATGCAACGCCTTAAAAACTTCTTCACTGCTGAAAGAAGCCAGCTTACCTTAGCTCCTTCTATTTGTTGTCTCTTCTATTGTTGTTGAAGGTTGAAATTTCTCGAATTAGAACTTCAGAAGGTTCATTAAGTCCAAAGTAGCTACAAGGAAATCACATGGGGTACACTCATAGAGGAATATAACCACTAGAGAGCGTATAGGCCGATTTCTTCTAAGCACAAGACTCACTACTGCGGGCCGGGGGACGATGAAGAATGCGCGGCCGCAATTGGTCAATTCAAGGTATGGCTATCATTAGGGTTGCTCTACTTCATTAAGGGAAAATAGTGGATATCGATAAAATGGATTTTAACATTATGAAAAATATTAAATGTAATTGTAATTGTGTAAATGTAATGTATTTGTTAGGTAATTAAAATCATAGAAATAATATTTAATCAAAATCAATCAATTACAAGAAAAACATGTATCCTGTTATTATTGATTTTTAAAATGTATTAATTTGGAATATGTTTTTCGAATTAAAGTTTTAGGGTCCTGATTGTTCTTCGTAAAAAATGATAAGCGCGCGTCTACATATTTCTGAATTATGCATCTTGCTAATTCAATTAAATGATTTGTGGATTCAATTTCAAATTGATGAAAATTAATATCCGGGAATAAATTATACCCAATCAGAGATTTTAAAACCGATCTTATAAAATAATCGGTATTATATTTCGAAGACAGCACTTTCGAACCACTCTCGTTGATCGCCCTCTTAATATAAATTTCACAACGACGACAAATTTCTATTACTGTGGTGGATCCGTACAATAACTTGTCTTTAGTGTCCTTTTGAAATTGTAAGGCGTTTTGATTTGGTACACCAATCAGCGCCCCAATGCAAGTTTGGCATTTTATTTGCTTTATCAAAGCATGTACAATGTAGCCGGCCATATATTCTACTACTTTTTTACCGAATTCAGGCTTTCAAGGCCTGAAAAATCCAAGCTCTCAGTCTCAAGATCTATGTTTTGGTCTTTGTATCTTGTTGTAATATTGATGCGGTTAACTGCAGAAATGCATTGCAAAATTGAAATTTGACCATCATCATCATCATCATCATCATGATTACAGCCCTTCACAAGTCCACTGCTGAACATAGGCCTCCCCCAAAGAATGCCACAAAACACGGTCCTGAGCCACCTGCATCCATCGACTTCCTGCATATCTTACCAGGTCGTCACTCCATCTCGTGGGGGGACGCCCTACACTTCGCCTACCGGTACGAGGCTGCCACTCGAGAACCTTTCTTCCCCATCGGTTGTCGGTTCTTCGAGCTATATGGCCGGCCCACTGCCACTTCAGCTTACTAATCCGTTGGGCTATGTCGGTCACTCTGGTTCTACTGCGGATATCCTCATTCCTAAGTTTATCACGCAGAGAAACTCCGAGCATAGCCCTCTCCATAGCTCGCTGAGCGACCTTGAGCTTCCTCATACGGCCAGCAGTGAAGGACCACGTCTCAGTTCCGTAAGTCATCACTGGCAACACGCACTGGTTGTACAATTTCGTTTTAAGGTTTTGAGGTATGTCTGACGAGAAGATGTGTCGTAGCTTCCCGAACGCTGCCCAGCCGAGTTGAATCCGTCGATTGACCTCTCGGTCGAAGTTGGACTTACCCAGTCGGACTATTTGTCCCAGGTAAACATACTCGTCAACAACTTCGAGCTTAGTGTTCCCAACAACTACCGGCATAGGTGTGACATGGACATTAAACATGATCTTAG